AGGGTGTAGAGTTGTTAGTTGATTTGATGCCATTAAGCATGACCCATTTCGATGTCATATTGGGAATGGATTGGTTAGTAGCGAACCATGCATCCATTAATTGTGTTACTAAGAGCGTCACATTGAAGACCCCAAATCTAGCCGAGGTCATTTTCCAGGGTAAAGGAGTAGTACCCCCACCTTACTTAATCTCATCCATGAAGGCCTACAAGTTGATCCAAATCTTGGATATCAATCATGCAAAACCTTTATTTCTAATATCATTCACTGAGTATCCAAGCTCACCCTCTCTATATATATGTAGGTGATGAGCAAGAAGGCAATGAGGCCTAGACGTGTAGCCGATGTGTTTTTGGGTGCATTGCCGACGTGTTTTGGATTAGCATTTTGTACCATCTTGAAGATTATGCTTCTTAGTCTATATTTCATGTGTACTTGTATATGTCGGCTTGAGAACCCTTTTGGTCAAGATGTATTTTGTATCTCATTTCCTTATTGTATCTAAGTTGTAAGACCTTGTAAAAATGTATGTCATTTCATTGGACTTAAGCACGGCTCTCATGGACTATTTAGATTCTGTACATGTACATATATATTGCTTCCGCACTTGTAAACCCCATACTTTATACTCTGATTGTGGATGATTCTTGTAAGTCGGCCTTCGGTAATCTCGGATTACTGGCCATCACGGCACCAAACTACTAGGGGCGGTTTGGGGGCGTGACAATTATGTTGTTAGGTCTCAGTTTGTTGGGCCTATCTGGAAATAAATTTTGTTAATTTCGAATCATTCATCTTATAACATTTACTGAATATACTATCTATATAAAAAAATTAAAATAATTCTAAGAATTAGATAGTAGCTAATCATCTTAATTTTTTAACTAGATATTTTGCTCAAGTAGTTCTCTTAAGCTAGTAATTGATATTATCAAGGTGGAGCCACCAAACTCAACAACAGCACGTCGAGCTAGAGAGAACCCATTTCGAACTCAAAAATTAAAAAAAAATAAAAATAAAAATTTATTAGATAGGTCTGCCTCATATTTTACATGATATGTTCTTACAATTCTATTAGTTATAGATCCATTATTTCTTATTTTTTTCCCTATATATTATATAAAACAACCAATATAATTGGAAGGGCACACTGTCCAATTAGAATTCTTTAAAGACAGGATAATTTTTCCAAAAATAAATGTTAGTTAATTGGTTTTTACACTAAATTACTATTCTAACTCGAAAGTTAAATTCACTTTTAAAAAAAAATAAATTTAAAAAATAGGTTTACATATCATTTTCTATACAATTTTCATTTCAAAATAGTAATTATTTATTGCTTTTGTTTATGGATTATATAGTTCTTTAAGAGGAGCTCATTACACTCCACTATGGATTGCCGATTTTCATTCGATCAAGGCCCAGAAAATCCACCGACATCAGTAATCTTTGGTCAAGAGTACATGGCCACCAATGTCTATCAACATTGCCAAACAGAGGTCAGTGTTTAAGGCAATTTAATGCTGTCGAGTAATTAAAGTTATAAAATCCAAAAATTAACGCAAACGTAACTGAATTAGATTATTTTGCACAAATTCAGCTCTCCTATAGTGGACCCTACACCTAAAGTGAATCTACACAATATATTATTTTTTTGATATTTTTCTGTGTTTAAATTTTTAATTTATAACATTATTAAAAAAGTTTCACATAAAACTGCACCCAAAAAGAGTTTAAGTGATATTTTTGTAACTAAATCATTTTAATGGGCATTTTGTATTTTTGTAAAAAGGTAATAAAAAAAATAAAAAAAACGTATATTATTTTAGATGAAATTTCTTTAAAAGTTAAAATAAAATGACTTTCACATAGTTTTCATATGAAACAAAGTGAAAAGGTTATAAAAAATGTGTAAATTACAAATACACTCCCTAAGATTTGATTAAAATATGAATCACCCTCTGTGGTTTTAGAAATTACATTTCACCCTCTGAGATTTCTAATTTCACAACAAATCGTCTATTTTATTAATAAATCATTAAATCAATTAACAATTTTTAATGATGTTAGAAATATGTTTCAATTAGTAATTTAGGTAATTTTATTATTGTATAGGAGAGAAATTATGAATTTCATTTTTTTAGTTAATTCTGTTAAATAAAAAATACTAACAAGGAGGTATTTATAATTTTCTAAATTACAGGGAGCAATCTGTATTTTAAGTAAATCTCAAGAAATGTATTTGTAATTTACCCGAATCTAATTATATGCCTATTTCTATGCACTGTTCTTTGTCCCTTTTAATTTTATTAGTTCATACAGTTACTTTTACTGATATAAACAACCACATGAATCAATGAAATTTATATAAACTGGAAAAAAAAAAAAAAAAGGGGGATAGAAGGGAGTAAGTGGCCTTATCTATACTATATATTAAGTAAAAGAGGGTTTTTTAACCCCAAGTCTTGTGGGAGCTCCAATCTCCCAATCTAAATTTCTTGATTTTTTGATTTTTAAAAGAAAAATTTAGCATTTATTAACTTCTCCCAACTCCCAAGACTTACCCTCATAATAACACTTTAATGCATTAAGAACATCTAATCTCCCAATCTAAATTTCCTTATTTTTTTATTTAAAAAAAAATCTTAGCATTTATTAACTTCTCCCAACTCCCAAGTCTTACCCTCATAATAATACTTTAATGCATTAAGAACAAGCATTTATTAACTTCTCCCAACTCCCAAGTCTTACCCTCATAATAATACTTTAATGCATTAAGAACAAGTATAAAAAAAATTCTTTGAAATCTAACGCATATGAATTCCTTGAAAAGTCCCAACACATATGATTATTATCCCTCATAATAATACTTTAATGCATTATGAACAAGCATAAAAAAAAATTCTTGTATTATATAAAGAAAAGGGGGTTTCTAATCCGCAAGTCTTGTGGGAGCTCCAATATTCCAATATTAATTTTCTAATTTTTTCATTTAAAAAAAATAACCTTAGCATTCATTAATTGCTTCCAACCCACAAGCCTTTTTGATTTCTCTCATAGTTATTACAGCATCATTTTCAACTTCTCCCATACACTATGGTTAGTAATGGGATTGTTAAATTATTCTTATAAAAAAATTTAAAAATAATTTGTATATTAAAAAATAATAATTTGTATATTAAAAAATATCTAAAATAAATATAAATAACTATATCTATATATTATATAAGGAAAATGAGGTTTCTAATGAGAAACCTCCTAAAAGTTCCATACTCTCATTCTAAACTTATTGATTTTTCAATTTATAAAATAGATTAAAAAAACTTATTGGCTAATTTATTTATTTAATTATTTCAAAAATAATAATTATTCATTAATTTATGGACTTCAAATGAGAAGATAACAACAATATTTCATAATCTCTCCACCCTAATCTCTCTCACCAATTTCTAAAAAAAAAAAATATTAAAACTTGCTTTCCTTTTCTCTTTCCCAAAAAATTAGATAATATTTTTCATGAAAATTGTGGATATTTATCTATATCTTATATATTATATTTAACATAACAAAAAAAAAAAAATACAAACTAAAGATCAGATATACAAATAGATAAAATCAATAAATTTGATTTTTATTTATTCAGTTAAAATCTTTATTTTGGATCTCAATATCCAATTTTAAATTTTAAAAATCTTTAAAGTCTATCTAAACAAACATAATTTGAAAATATCTCCAAACATCATACTTTAAATCAATAAAATTCACATGTCTATCATATATCTAACACACATCATAACTTACCTAAATAATAATAATTAAAAATAAATAAAAACCACAGATAAATTAAATTTTAAAAAATAAATAAATAAAACCCACAACTCCATCTAAAATAAATTGAATAAAAAAAAATATAAACCACACAA